AATAGCAGTAGCAGTGGCAGTGGCAGTAGCAGTAGTAGTAGCAGGCAGTAGTAGTAGTAGTAGTAGTAGTAGTAGTAGTAGTAGCAGCAGGCAGTAGTAGTAGTAGTAGTAGTAGTAGTAGTAGTATCAGTAGCAGCAGCCCCGGCTTCAGGTTCAAGTGATCTTGGGACGACAACAGGCAAATCTTGCTGCCCAAGGCGCCTTGCCAGAAGCGTCCTGGCACGAGTCTCTTGACTCCTTCTTCCGAGCTTTTGGGCGATGGGCCCTCTAGCTGACTCTAGCTGCCACCCTGACCCCCCCTCCCCCCGCCCCAGCCTCAATGACCACAAAGCTTTAAACCCTGAAGCAGCTTCTGTCACATCAGAGAGAACCTCACTGCACCTTAACTTGAATCAATGAACATCACGAACCTTTGATTCGCATACATACACACATACAGACAAGCAACCAAATAAACATCCACACATCCATGCATGCATGCATGCATGCATATACATTATGCAGGAACATCTGCTTTTGTACATACATACATACATACATATATATATATATATATATACATACATATAATAAACACGCACGTGTGTGATTGTTTGCTTTTCTACTTGTAATATAATTAGCTATTTACGTATTTTCCTGTATAGTTTATGCATACACTTATGTATTTGTTTATGTGCAGTTTGAAATGTACGCTTTGTCGCCCCGGTGTTTATGCACGTTCATGTTTGCCATATGCATACACAAATATTCATGTGCATCTGCAATCCGTCTCTCCTGTGGACTCACTCAGTGGCTTGTCAGCCTCATCACAGACCACAGCAGATTCTATTGTAAAACACATATCCTGACTATATGTATTGCTACACAAGAGAAAGAGGAAGGGAGCATCCCAAAACTCCTGAAAGCCCTCTCTGAAACCCTAGTTTCACATTGAAGCTTCCTCAGACGATACCCACAAGGAACAACAGCCACCGTGCAGTCCGTCGTGATCCACTTCACCCGGGACTCCCTCGACTGATCGCCTGGCAGAGCTCTGGTTTCTGCATGCGGCGTGGCGTGCAGCGGGGGGATAGACCGGTGTGCCCGGAAGTCGCGAATGTCGGGGTGTGGCGCGGGCCGAGGCGGGATTCCATCGGCTTGCGATACCGGGTGGGCCGCGGGCGGGGCCGCTGAAGTACGCCACAATTGGAAAATTGGTGGGAAAAAAAACGCTCGTCTCGCGGGCTCCCGGGCAGACCTTGTTTTGAAGGCTCTGAAGAACCTTGAAATGACTGCCTAGTAGGGCCACGAGCACGAGCTCCAGGAATTGAACCTTGCGGTTCAAGGGCTGCATAAGTATAGTTTGATACTAGTTCAATTACTGCATTAGATCACATATGTTAAAGACTTCGGAATTTGGTTGGGGTCTCAGGGGTTCATGTGGGTGTAACCTACACCCGACACCCCAAAAGCCGAAACGAAGGAACCTTGGCGCAACATGGTAGTCCATGCTCCGAAACATCAAACTTTCAAGAGCCGAAGCTTGGTAGCCCACATCCTGAGCCCCGGCATGGCCTAAACGGAGCACGTCAAGCTTGGCTACTCCTTCCTCCTCATCCGCCACGTAAACGAACGCAGAGAACCTGGTTCTGCGATTCTGGTGCATGCGATGGTGCAGCACCAAGCGTTGTCATTAAGAAACCCCAAACCTGAAATCCTGACCTCTGCTAAGAAAGCAAACCCAAAGGCGAGTTCCGCAGGTTTCAGGGTAAGTGAAGGAGTTCGGGAGTAGGATTCAGGGATGAAGATGTCGGGTTTGCTTTTTGACATCTGGTGAGGGCTAGGCGTAGAGGATCGAAAGATCGGAATGGCCAGGAATCTAGGATCTGAAAGCATCTCGTGCACGGGAGTTTGGACTGTCACAGGTTGGATATAGGGTTTATTGTGTGGGCTTGGGCTTCAGGTTGAAGCAGGATGGAAGTGGAATCTCAGATTCGTAGATGCTGAGGGCTGCAATCTGGGCATTGGAGCCCTGGAAGTCCCTTTAAACCCATCCCCTCAACGTTCCAGAGCTTCGGGCTTCGGGAACAAGACCCTCGAACCTTGTAAACCCCCGCCTAGACCCTAAATAGCCCAAGTGCTGCATGGTCGGGGCTGGCATTTTGTCGGCTGCACCTGGTCGTAGTGATTGTTGACTGCCCGGCATGTTTAGGAGAGCTCAAGATTAGGCCTCATTTTGGGGCCTTAATGATTGGAATAGGTTTTTTTTTGGGGGGGAGGGTATTGCTTATAATTATTTAGGCATCTGTCTTAGGGTAGCTCAGGGTGTAGGGCTTCTACAGACTAGCTTCGCACCGAAAGTATTCGTTCGACAGGAAACCAGTCCAAGGTGGTGCATGGCTAAAAAAAGGAAATGGTCTGCACTGATTGTTGTTTGCGGAATAGTACAATCTCCCCCAACTCCAAGAACCCCTAAAATCCCAAAAACCCTACACCTTCAACCCACTGCCTTGAACCCTAAACTCGATGCGCCAAATTTTCAACCCTCCCCAAGAGGGCCTCCGGCAGCCTTTTCTGCCGCAGGTTTCTCGGCCGACGGCGCGGCTCCCCCACCGGATCCGAGGATGGCAGGCCCCCTGGTGAAAGCTGAGGTTCCCTGTAAGGGAACCCTTAAGGGTTCCCTCAAAGCCCTTGAAGGAGCCTTGAAGGGGTCCTTCAGAAGTTCCTGTAAGGGTTACTATAACGGGGTGCCTCTAGGGTTCAAAAAGACGGTCTAAAAAGGCGCCCTGGAGGCTAGGGTTACATGGGTTTCGACTCACACGCTCGCAAAGCAGGCAGGTAGGCAGGCAGGTAGGCAGGCAGGTAGGTAGGTAGGTAGGTAGGTCGGTAGGTAGGTAGGTAAGTAGGTAGGTAGGTAGGTAGGTAGGTAGGTAGGCCGGCACGCAGGTAGGTAGCTCGGTAGCTGGGTGCTAGGTAGCTATGTGGGTGGGTGGCTAGGTAGCTAGGTATGTT